ACACACACACACACACACACACACACACACACACACACACACACACATCAGTTTAGTTGTTTACATTTGCTAAATTTGGCCAGCAGAGCTCCATAATACAGCATCAATGCCCCTACAAGAAACCAGGAGAATAGCACATATTTGACGATAAAATGGCTAAATGATGTATATGTTTTCATGCTGATATTTTAGGTCTTTGGTGCCATGATGTGATGTTTATGATTCTTGATTGAATGAAAGATGTCATTGTGTAGTGCAGTGTGACCTGATTGGTCTACGTGGGTCCATCAACCTATTTCAGACATGCTCTCCTATTGTTGTAAATAAAAAACTGAGAAGATGACACTTACCGGTTGTGAATTCCACCTCTTCACTACTGTCACTGAACTTGCCACTGATGTCTATGTAGGTTTTCACGCTGACAACATATGTTGTGCTTGGGTCCAAGTGTCGACCAAGTATTTCATAGGAATTCCATTCATTAGTTGTAGTTGGTGTGACCATCATAGGTTCCTGGTATGGAGAAACAATAATTATAAAAAACAGCAATCATAGTCTCTTTAACTTACCGGCAACCTGACATAACCAAATGGCCAAGACTAAGTCTAGAACAAATCATCTCAGTGTTTAACGAAATGTATATGAAATTGCTCCTACCGTTTTTGTGTCTCCTTCTTTATAGTACGTCAAATAATGTTTCAATTCAGTCCTGATATAAGGTGCCATGTGTGTATCCCATGTGACTTGAAAATTTCCACCGGATATTTCCACTGAGCGGATTGTTGGGGTGTTAGGCTTTACTGTAGAAGAAGAGAGATACGAATAGTAAGAGGAATGTTTCATAACCTCCATCCAGTCTGACCTCCATTCACTCTTCACCTGGATCTGGATCCGTCTATATCTGGCAGCTACAGGTTATTTGTCGGTACTTTCATTGAAGTCAACTCACTGGTGTCTGTGACGCTGATGATTTGGGATTTTATGATCTTGTCTCCTTTCCGAACTGTGGCTGTATGAGTCTCCCCCGAGATCAGAGACATTTCAATGGAGCAACAACACCGTCCATTGTCACACTGTGTGAAAGTGCTACTCCCATTCCTGCGGAATACAAGATGGCACATCATGTTCTAAATAGCCTATATGATATATTTATATTTCAGTTGATATTTAATATTACAAAAGAAAAACAACGCCTGGATCGGAAAATAAATTTTACAATTTAAACAGAATAAATTCACAGGCTTTGCAGTGAAAATAAAAACAAAACTCACTCATTGAAGTCGTTGGCCCGGAGAGTCAAACTGTATTCAGTGCAGTTTTGTGCTTCAAAGTGACAAAAGAATCCCGTAGTATAGTCGTTGGTACATTCAAGAAGTTGGCCTGAACGAGACACACGGAGAGAATAATTATGATAATGAGTTATTGCATCGACTATATAAACGATGTATATTTCCACTATACGTACCAGAGAGAGCTGTTGCAATATTCCCTAAACTGAGCAGGACAAAATATATCCTATCCCGGACGCGCCTGAAAGAAAAAAACAACAGCAGATGTTTTCTTCACTTTAATGCGACAGATTGGATGATTTAAGTAACACAGACACTTTCCAAGACTCCGGATTACCTATTTGAATCCATGCTGAAACGAATTATTCCACTTCTCCTTCGAAACTACAATCCAATGAACCATGTTGTGAAAATGTAAGGTAGGCGTGTTTACGTGACAGTCTCACAGCTATCCTGATGTGGAAAGCTGTTTACTGGAAATGTTGCGCCACTAACTCCATGGAAGAGCCTCACACGCCCATTTCCTCAAACAGTGAAAAGAAGGCAACACACTCCCCCAGCCGACAGCAGAATTAAGTGCAAGCTATACTAACATAAATCATAATGTTGAATGATGTAAGCGATAAAGGTGTAATAGGTGGCCATATGGATTAAAAGTGGGGAAAGAATGTCCGTCTATCTATCTATCTATCTATCTATCTATCTATCTATCTATCTATC